AACCTATTTATGATGAAGTCATGGTAACAGTCCCCTGCCTTAAGTCAGGGACTACCTGTACTTTTTGTTATTTACAGGTTGGTTTCTATATCTGCAGGCAAGTTGATAGACTTTGAGGAATGAAGTTGTTAGAACTCTTGGTAATATAGAGGAGCCATGGTCATGGGAATGGCCATGAATCAGAGCCAACTTGATGGCAACTAACAGCCACCACATAATATAATTGCACAGCAGAAGCATGTTAAAGTATAGGGTAAGCAGCTGTAACAAAGTGACCTCAAACAAGATATCAGTTTATTTCTCTTTATGTTAACAACTTAGGATGGGTAGGAAGACTGTGCTCCACAAGGTTATTCAATGACACAGGTGGTAGGATGGTTCTGCTGTCTTTATACATGGCCTCACTCTAAGCAGATTGCTGTGTCCCTGTGTCCAGTCAATGAAAAGTAGTATAAGAAAACTCAGGGCATTTGGCTTGACTTTAAAGAAATATCCTGGAAGTAGCATACATCATTTTAGTTTGCAACACATTGAAGTCAGATCTATCTCCAAGGGAGGCTGGGAAATATAGAGCCTAGCTAGGCAACCATATACCTAGGTAAAACTTGAATATCTACAACTAAAAGGAAAAAAAGAGGAGTCAAAAGGAAGGGAAAAATGTTGTTGTTGTTATATACCGTCGAGTCGGCCCCGACTCATAGCGACCCCTCCTTGGGTTTCTGAGGCAGTATCACTATGGAAGTAGGATTGCCCAACCTTCCTTCCAAGGAGTGGCTGGTGGGTTTGAACCACCAGCCTTCTGGTTAGCAGTCAAGTGCCTTAAGCACTATACTACCAGAGCTTCTAAGGGAAAAATAGAAACCTTAAATCTAATAAGATACCTTATACCATACATGTTTACAATACCTAGATAAAAGTTTAATAGGATTTTTGTTTCAGAAAAAGAAATTAGAAAGTGGTTTTGTGGTTTTTTTGGTGCATGATGTGAGTTTCCACTACACTGCCTAGATTAAGGATTATACTCTCCATGGCAGCAAAAGAATTAAAGTCAGAAAACTTGGATGCTAACTAAAAATCAAGCCTGTTGTTGTTGTTATGTGCCATCGAGTCAGCTCCGACTCATAGCTACTCCTCCTTGGGTTTCCAAGGCAGTATCACTACGGAAGTAGATTGCCCCATCTTCCTTCCCAGGAGTGGCTGGTGGGTTTGAACTGCCAGCCTTCTGGTTAGCAGTCAAGTGCCTTAGGCACTATGCTACCAGAACTCCAAAAATCAAGCCTAGCTAAAAACAAACAAACAAAAATCTGTCTTGTAGGTATGATATGCAGATTTTTACAGATACATGGGAACAAAACAAGCTGAAATACAGTTTCAGTTTCACTGGAATAAAGTAATATATCTCTAGAATCTGGATTTTGGAAGTCTTCTTAAGATCTGAAGGAATCTTTACTAATGTAATGCATTTTAATATTTAAAACTTTGACCCCTCCTTAATGATCAATTTCCATTTAGAATCTCAATGATACATTCTGCTTTTTCTGCTCATAGAAAAATATATAGTGTGCTGTTGTTTTTGTTGGCTGCCAGATGAAACACAGATTGAATTATTGTGATCCACAGGATTTTCATTTTTGGAAGTAGATTGCCAGGCCATTCTTGTGAGTCCATTGAGGTCTGGAAGCTCCACTGAAACCTGTTCAGCATCATAGCAGCATGCAATCCTTCATTTACAGAGCCACAGTGCCCAGATCTAATCTCGATCTCCCAAATGGGTCTACATGAGAATTCTACCACTACACAGGTACTCCTGTTAAAACCCTTTGCTTACACCAACACAAGAAAACACCTAGGACTGGAGATAAATTTTCTAATCAGTTTCATCCACTCCTATTCTGGTGCCAGACTTTAATTCATTATGAACTTCCATGGGATCGTGCTATCTTCATAAGTAGGAATACCTTATTATATTTTTTTGTGATTTGATTATTAAAATATGAAGAGAGTAAAGATTGTTTCTTTCTACAAATTGTTGTGTTGTTGTTGTTATGTGCCGTTGAGTCAAACCTGACTCATAGCGACCCCTCCTTGGGTTTCTGAGGCAGTATCACTACGGAAGTAGAATTGCCCAACCTTCCTTCCGAGGAGTGG